GGGGGGGTAAAGAAGTTCCATATGTATTTGTTTGGCCGCTCTTTCACATTGTACACAGATCATCAGCCCTTAACGTCAATCTTTCATTCGCGGAAAAGCATCCCTGTGGTCACTGCGGCTCGACTGCAACGTTATGCCTTGTTCCTGACGGGCTATGATTACACCATTGAATACAAGAACACTAACGTTCACAGTAATGCCGATGGTCTTTCCCGCCTACCACTCGTAAAGGAATCCAGAGATGAAGAAGTTGTCGACCCTGTGGGTGTATGTAATTTGATGCAGTTTGATCCACTGCCAGTCACAGTGGATAACGTTCGGCGAGAAACACAGAGAGATCCTGTTTTGGCTCAAGTGTATGAGATGACCAGTAAAGGTTGGCCACACAACACTGCTCCTGCACTCAATCCCTATTTTGTTCGCAAAGATGAGATCACATTACAATCAGGCTGTCTGATGTGGGGAATAAGAGTCGTAGTACCTCCAAAGTTGCGCCCTCAAGTTCTCGAAGAACTGCATCAGGGACATATGGGGGTCGTGAGGATGAAGGCCCTCGCCCGAAGTTACATCTGGTGGCCTGGAATCGACAAGGAAGTTGAACGGACGGTTAAGTCCTGCTCAGGTTGCCAACTAACACAGAGAGAGCCCAGTACAGTACCGGTACACGCATGGGAGTGGCCTTCGTCCCCCTGCCAACGAATTCACATTGATTTTGCAGGTCCNCGCCCTCAAGTTCTCGAGGAACTGCATCAGGGACATATGGGGGTCGTGAAGATGAAGGTCCTCGCCCGAAATTACATCTGGTGGCCTGGAATCGACAAGGAAATTGAACTGACGGTTAAGTCCTGCTCAGGTTGCCAACTAACACAGAGAGAGTCCAGTACAGTACCGGTACACGCATGGGAGTGGCCTTCGTCCCCCTGGCAACGAATTCACATTGATTTTGCAGGTCCGTTCCTCAACAGCATGTTCTTGGTGGTAGTGGATGCACATTCAAGATGGCTAGAGATAGAGAAAATGACTAGTACAACCTCAGAGAAGACCTTTGAAGTCCTTCATAAATTATTTGCCAGATATGGAATACCAGCCCAGTTGGTAAGCAATAACGGATCGCAATTTACATCAGAAGAGTCTCAGCAATTCCTTAAGAGAAACGGAATCAAACACATCACGTCAGCACCTTACCACCCTGCCAGCAACGGGCTGGCGGAACGCGGTGTGGGGAGCTTCAAAAGTGCGATGAAGAGCGAAACTGAGGTGAAATCCTTGAATCTTAAGTTGGCAAGATTTTTGCTGGCTTATCGGAACACTCCTCACTCAACCACTGGAGAGCCACCATCCCAGTTGTTCTTGGGAAGAAGATTACGCACTCCACTGGACCTTTTAAAACCATGATCTCAGCGTCCAGATAAACAACCGTCAGATAGACCAGTCTGTCGCCAAGGGTGGTTCTGCAACGCGGCATTTTTCCATTGGCCAGAGCGTAATAGCACGAAATTACAATGGAAAATCAAAGTGGGTACCAGGTATTGTGCGTGCACAACTAGGACCCCTGTTTTATGAAGTGGAGATTGGGCCTAACTTAGTTTGGCGTCGACACACANTGGCCAGAGAGTAATAGCACGAAATTACAATGGAAAATCAAAGTGGGTACCAGGTACTGTGCGTGCACAATTAGGACCCCTGTCTTATGAGGTGGAGATTGGGCCTAACTTAGTTTGGCGTCGACACACAGACCAAATCAAAGATTCCAATGTTCCTGTTGCAGACAACCGTACACCAGTTATCCAGCCGTTGCTGTTCCCGCCCCCAGTCGAGTACCATGGTGACCAAGTAGCTGAGCCGCCTGAGCAGACAGAAACCGTCCCACGGGAAACGGGTTTTCAGCCATCCAATCCAGCTGCTAAACCTTCAGTTAGCAGCCCTCTGAGCCAGATTGGACATGTTCCTGTTAGAAGATACCCTACCAGAGAGAGGAAGCCCCCCAGCCCGACTGGACCTTTGAACATTGAACTGCCCATTTCTAGGACTCTGACTTTTTTTTTAAGAATAGCATGTTGTGTTAAATTTTTGGGGTACGAGACTGGCTTAAGGGGGAGGAGTTGTAGTGTATTGAGCCAGCGGTTGACATTATGAGCATGCGCACTTATGCGCATTCTGCTCCATGTGCTTCGATTGCAATAAACCAAATACATGACAGTTATATTGATATACATATATTCATTGGCGATCATTAACTGTGAGACATTTGCGAGTTTATAATGACTATAGATAATTGTCACTCGCTGAGGATATAATTCCGCGTTTGGTTTGCTTCTACGTACATGTTAACTAATCAGATGCGTTTTCATAGCTGCCATGGCCAGAAATTCCGGACATCGAGTCTGTTAATTTTCGTGCGGTATACGTCTACTACACATTATAGTGGTGCATACCGCTGTTCTGTGCGGCGTACTTCGGGCTCAACGACATTACAGAAAAAGTTGTTGTACAAAAAGATGTTGTTGGGC